TTGTCACTGAGGATGACAAGTGTCGCTGGTATATTCATTAATATCGTTAATGATTAAGAACGTGGGTCCCTTGAAATCACGTGAAAATAGGGCGGGCTAGGCGGAGCTGTCGCTTGGTTTCTTCGACTAGCGTGAATTAGGTATCTGTTAATACGTTCTCATTAAAGTGGGAACTGTCCCGGAGGCAGAACGCAACACGCTCGATCAAACTACGCGATCCCACGATACTAATATAAACTTAATACCTAGAATAACTTGCCAAATATGGCTCCTAACAATCTTTCAGAGACTCATACAGTACGGACTCGTTCGGCGCAGCAATATTGATGTAGTGGAACGATAATACATGACGCTTAGAAATCAGTATAGTCCCGAGGCTGCTACTAATCAACAGCCGAGGCCTGTTGTGAGGTCCAGTCTTTATTTTTAAAGAGACCCACAGTACCTGCTGGACCAAAGATCTTAAATTCGTTTATATGGTCAATATATTCTCTTCCTCCTGTTATTGTCCGTATATCTAGATCTGGTAGGTTATGCTTAAAAAAGAATTAATAATGTGGAGTTAAACTATATTTTCAAATTTATTATGAGACTATTAGAAAGCTATGTACGAATCGACAGTCAAAGAGTTCAACGCAATATCACACTTCAACTCCCGCTTATACTGACTGCCTCCCATCCACGAGGCCATTTAAAACCACCAACTATTAGCTCCGAACCTCATCGCCGTAGTAAATTCCCAGTACTCAGGATACCACCCAGCCGATTCCCAGTCGAGAAAACCGGACAGATGTCCGTAATATTGTGGGCTTTGAGGTCGCCATAGGTGAAAGCAATTCGGTAGGGGTAGTTGCGAATTTCATTAGCTTCTTCTAAAGCCTTGATATATTCTACGGTCGTATCAAAGCCGTGCCCCGAAGCTATACTCAATAGGAAATCGGTGAATTTAATTTCGTCGACAAATAGACCCATAATGTGACCTGGTACACGCGAGCTTCGTATTGAAGTGCCATTAACTAAGCATATCCTCTCGGAGTGAGGCGAAGCCCATTCACGCCTTACAGAAACGTATTCTTTCAGCTCGAAGAGCCATAGTTCCTTAGATTAGACAATCAAGGTATCGGCGGAGTTCTCGAGTGGGAAGCCTGGCAGCCGTATTATTAATATCGAGAAATTACGACTATAGGGCGAGTTAGGGTGTTCTCTATAAGATAGCAACTTTAGGACCGGCATCCTAGTAGCCCGCGCCATTTGCATTACAGTAGCCTCCTCCAAATTTATCCGGTCTGTCCACTTCAAGATAAGTCTAAAGGGCAATTATATAATGTTAGCATCATATTATATACCAAACCAGGCATAGTACCATTCGGATATACAATATAAAGCCTCGTGTACTATACCCTAAGCTCGCCGTTACAGCTTCCCAGGTAAAGAGGGCACCTTAGGAGTTGACTTACAAATGGATAGCTTCATCGATCGAGGCCATATAAAATCCGGTCGTAAGAACGATAAAATCACTGATATTTCCGCTTATCGACAGACCGCGACGGTGTATGAGACGATTAAATCAGCTCTAGCTCTCGGTTAAAGGCGTGAAGAAAAACAGTTTACGCGATTCCTTATAACATCGTATTTACGTATTTCGTGTGTTGTCAGAGGTTATGAGGCTTTATTTACCTAACGTGCTCGCGTCATATGATATAACGCCGGAAAGGAGAAATAGAGAATCGCAAACGGGGGTAGCTAGATTTAGAAAATCCTATTGTAAATACTTTATTATTGGACGATGTATACTTCGTCCTTCAAATTCCTTAACCCTCTATATCTAACCGATGCGACCCAAACTGCTCGATCATTTAATATGTAGTTTCGCCCCCGACCCGCCTGCCCGTCTCCCGCACTCCCCCTACCCGTTCGGGTATAGCGCCCTCCACTGAGCCTCCTACGCCGCTTTTACCGCCCTCCCCGTCTGCCATCCGTCTATCTAACCCCTCGCCCTCTCCTCCTCTTCACTAACGCACTTTCTCTTCTCGGCCCTACCGTCACCTATACATTTACTTTCAGTCCGATACGCTACCCCTTTCATTTCGCCGGTTATGCCGAGTCATACGACGTCCTCGTTGCTGGTTAAAATTAAAATTTCTTGCTAGCAGCCGAAAAAGATAACTGGCCAAAATTGGATTGTCTCCGATCTTATCACTACTCTAGTTCAACGCCAATCCTATGCTTTCGTGATACACGTGATTCCACTAGTATTTAAAACCAGAGATATACGAGCTTCAGCTCGTATACAATCTAGAGTAGGGAGCTCATACTTCTAAGACCGCGTGGCTAACATTGGATTTTCTCTCGCTTTAGCCGAAATGGCCATCACTAGGCTTTCGCCGGAGCTTTTAAGCACATTCTGTGGATATCTAGACCTTCACGAATGGTGCTCGCTCAGGATCACTTATTAACAAATCTATAGTATAACCCTAGAGGCATTCGCAAGACGGTACTATGAGCCTGTTATTGCTTATAACCACCGAGAGCCTGAATTAACTATAGCAAATCGCGGCCCGTGACCTTCTTCGGGCCTTAGTCCGTGAGATTTGGATCGTCCCGACGTTATTCGAAGGCTGGCCCAAAATGAAATATCTCGAATTCGCGTTATCTTAGTATGGTAGGAGGTCGACAAAATATGATTGCAAGGAGAAGAGTTAGAATATCACCCAGGCGGAACTTGAGGCTCGCTTCGCAGCGTATTAGGCTATAATAGCCGACTACCGCTCCACCCTGGAATTATCAACTCTTAGCGATATCCTAGCAAAATGTCTATCGCTGTGTGAGAACATAGTTAATATAGGGCTAAGGTCTTATCCAATCAATCTCCTGCTGAATTCAGAAAAGGAGGCGGGTGTTCGATGTCTGGGCTTACCGGAACTAAGGAAACAGCCGAGCTACCGTGAGAGACATATAGCGCGGTTTTATGGTCTAATGCTAGCCTCGCTAGCCATATCTCACGCTAGGACGTTCCCTGCTTTTGTCAAAGCCTTAATTAGATCTGGCCGAAAGGTTCAGAGTCTCCACATATGTGGCAATTATGTTTGTGGGCTGTCTTTACAACAAATTCAACTTACGAAGTCCGACTACCCCTCCCTTCTTTCTCTCTTAGAGGGAATAAGATCTCTATATATCTGCATTCAGTTTCTGAAGGAGATCTCTGTTAGTACTAGGCTAGAAAGGAAGGATTGAAGGTAGTTACTACATATCATTTGCGAGAGGACTCGGAGGCCATGAACTCGGCGAAACAGAGCTCTATGAGATTACGCTCTGTAAGCTTGGGCTTGAAGTTGTTCAGGAAATTCTCTGTGACAGGGTTAGCCTGAATGGCTTCCATGAACTATGCGTATTCGAAGGGTGCCTCAAGATAGGCATTAGTATAGCACTGTTTCAATTCAGAGAGAGCTTTCTTCCATTTAGCTAGGAAGACTACTGCATTCCCCCCTGGTCTGTACTTGCAGTTAACCCAGTTGCTCCACTTAAGTTAAAAGGTATGGGAGTTAACATTGCCGTAGGTTTTGCAGATGATGTCGTAGGCCTCATGTGCATCCTCAATGCCATGAATGAAGGTCCGGATATTCTTATCTAAGGATGCGGCCACGTAATATACGCCTAGAGCGTGTTTCTTACGGAACCATTCGAACTCCTAGTTGGGATCGAGGATGTGCTTTTTGACCTATGCACTCGTCTCGGCAGCTATGACCTTTTGTGGTGAGATGCCGGTCTCGGCTGAAATTAAATGGCGAATGTCCTCGTCAGATGGGACGTTAAGTGGTTCGTCGATAGGGCAGGTGAGTGCCCCGGTGATGACTAGCCACAGATCGAGATCGCTGGCGTTAATAAAGCGACGTAGAGAATCTCTCCAGACGGCGAAATTGGCTTCTCCCTTAAGGGAGGAAACGGTAGGTGTAAGCTTAAGATCGCCCATTATGAAAGATATGTTGGATGAATTGAGTTTAAAGGTGTCAAGGGTCAAGGCCCTTTATAGTAGGACCGTAGACAAAAGAGAAGGAACTATACTCGAGATAGCGATGTAGGCTGATGGAGATTTCCTTTTGTAGGACTCAGGGTCGCTGAGATACGCCGAGCTCGTTGACGAGCTCTTCGGGCTGGAGGGTCTGCTTGACCAAAAAGATAGTGCCGCTAAGAAGGGCAACTACCGCAGCGAGATGTCGGTGTTGCCTTGGTGGCACTTACGAGAGCCCCCCTAAGAGGAGGATTTGGTGTGAATTGCCTATGTGAAGGCCTGGAATTTTCCGTTGAAAGAGCTTAGAAGAGCTGCTCGAGGACCACGAGACTCGAGAAAGGGAGAGAAAGACGCAGGGTTAGTAGTTCTCTGTAATACTATATATGTCGGGTCCTGAGTTATATCCGCTGAGCGCGGATATGGTGGTCTTTTTAGCCTACGTTAGATCTCAGGTGACCTAGGCTGATATCTTGACAGAAACTACACCTAAGTGTTTTCCGTGATCTAGGTCGAAAGATCGTTTTAGTATCGATTTACGATTATCTCCGAAGGGAGCTACATTAAATTCTCGTAGAACAAAGACCTAAAACAGAAATTACTCGCGACTAGTAACTAAGAGTTAGGGGAAGTTAGGCCGCGGGATCGTATATAGGTGAAAAATACGAATATCAATCGGAGTAAAGGGGGGTTGATTTTCTTGGAAAGCGCTTATGGAAGCTAGATCAAGGTTGTTGAAGGAAGAGACAGGCGAGGAGAAATAGCAGAAAGGTGTGGAAAACAAGTGTCTAATTCTGTTATGTTATATCATGTTTGGAGTTGGGACAGCACAATCTATTCTAAATGTCCGTTCTCGAATTAGAGAAAATGATGAAAAGGTTTGATATCCATAGGGGCCTAATATAGTTATGATAAATATCGAGAGCGCCTTATAATGTAGTAGTTGTTGTTATCGGTGCCGTGGCTGCTGGAACGTGTAGCTCAATCCTTTAATCTATGTATTGTTGGCGCACGAGAAGCTCGCGCTACCTAGATTGTCATAGATAGATTTTCCAGAAGTATAGAGGCCAAGGCCACACTAATAGATTCATGAGATAGAGAACACTCGGATAATCATACCATGGATTAGAACTTACTAGCACAATACTAACGTAAATAGCAAAATTATTGAGTAGTGTCAATGCGATCTTCTTCGGCGAAGAAAACCACAATCCTTTATTTATGTAGAGCTAGAAAATGCTAGTGAACCCAAAGGTAAACTAACTACTAAACAGAGCAGTCTAACACACGTTAGCATTAACGCCAAAGGTGAGGAATTAGAAAAGACGGAGCATACAATCAGAGTCAGAAGGCTGTTAAACACGGGAATTACCTCGGCAATGATCCACGCTACGATCCATAAGCAGACAGTGAGTCTAACCCAAGTGCCAACTGCCACGAAGTCGCTCTTATGCATACGGTCGGTTCCCGCGAAGATACGGATATATATCGATTTGGCAGCGACATGGCTGTTGATGACACCGGCGATAACAATCTGGAAATCTCAGTGTGAGCAGAGTGATCATGAAATTAACTGAATAAGTCAAGAGTACTACTTACAGTCGGAAGAGCCACACCGTAAGCAATCCGGGAGATCAGCGGGCCCGCAGAACCCAGGGCTGGAGATATAACATCGGCACCGGCATATCGATAGATAACAGTGCCAGCGATGATATAAAGAGTTATGTCGATGGTTTAAAGCAAGGCAAGGGCCTTTGGGAAGTCTCTCGGGTCTTTGAGTTCCGCCATGAAGGTGAAAAATGTGTTATGGCTGACTGTGAATTATTAGAAATCATGACGTACTCTGAGATTCCCGTATTAATACTAAGGGGTTAGGATCACATATCATATAAAAAAGCGATATTTACAGCAGCTGTAAATCCCGTAACTAGGTTAGTCTTAATAGTCGCTTTAACCGCAGATCCAGGATTTTGGACTCCGAGGGCGATCATTACAATCATGATAGCGCTAAAAATGCTGATAAATGCTGATAGAGAGTAAGGGTCAGAGATATGTCTTTCCGCAAAAGGAAGACGCGATACTTACAGACGAGCGAAAGCCACGAGACCTATATAAGTTTCCGTGGCAGCGACAAGAGGATTGAGAGGATTATGCTAACGACACCAAAAACAATCGAACACGTTGTATGCCCTGTGATTTTATTGAGTGCAACAGTAAAGGTCAAGATATGACTCGCCATAATGAAGACTAGGAATAGTAGTTGGGCTATTCCAAACAACTCACGACCAAACCGGCCCATCAAGACCTTACTAGCATCTGCTACACTTAAGATATAAGGGTATCGCCATTTAAACTATCTAATCATATAACCGGTGTAGCAAGCTAGTAGTCCTAGACCGATGAGGACAATGAGACCTGGAACGAGACCTAAACTGGCGATAGCGGCTGGAAGTGAGAGGATACCTAGTAAGATGGTCTCGGTAACTATAAGAAGGCCTCCTTGCCTATGGAAGATGTTATGGTTCAGCAAAAGGTTGATTTCTCAATACGGGATTTAGGGGACTCGAGAAAGAAACATACCACTATGTTAATACCTTGTACTTAACCTCCGCGTGTTCCTCGTCACCAAAAGTATCCTGTCGAGGCGGCGTGAGATTAGGCTTTTCCACCTCCCTAAGTCCGTGATCAGGAAACTCCTGAGCAGACTGATTATGTGTCGGTGTAATATTAACAATTTGTGGTCTCATAATAGTCGTCCGCATTCGTCAAAATCATAGAAAGAGTAATACAATTCCTAGGATGGCGTAAGAGGAGAAAGTGATAATAGAGCTAAATAGAAAACACAAAGCCGCTAGGTACTACCGATAGCCCCGTCCCCCAGAGAGATCCATTCGACTTATGGGGTGGTCAGGGTCGCCTTCCATTTCCAGTTTTGCCCCGGCTAAATATAGGTAAATTCAAATACCGGTTACTGCCTAGTGGGAATGGGTGGATTATAGTGATAGGGTCAAGACATATCGATAGTAGAGACTTACATAGGAAAGGCATACCCGTTGAGCCGGAGAGTAATAAGCAAAGTGTGCCGAAAGGTCATCTTTATCTCCATAGATTTTCCGCGCTAACACTACCTATAATACATTAGTAGCTCCATAAGCTTGTTGGTCCTCTACTATCGATTCGATCATGAAGAGTTCACACTTTATTATTTCTTTTCCTACCCCAGGCTTTTCCCTAGATTTATTCTTGATTTTTTTCTCGTTCGTGTTACATACATAATCTAGAGTACTTACCTTATTGGCTAGGATGTCCGGAGTAAGATGCCTATCCCGGAATCGCTTTCCTGAAATGATTGCATTATAGAGCACGGTAAAAGTTGGGGGTCCGGTATACGGAGTGGGCTTCCCCGACCTCGTACCTTTCCGATGAAAAGGCGGGGGGACGGTAGCCAATCAGTGCCACCGAGTGTAAGTGGCGTATTCCATTCCGCCTTTGTCACCGCGTAGTCCTAATAACTACCTTGGAAACCTAGGCATTAACGTATTAAGTAATCGGGCCCTTTCCTCTAACGTAATCCACGGCCGACCGGATCACACGGCCGACCGGATCACCCCTTCTAAATTCGCGTCTTTCTACCAACCTAATTAATTCAACCACCTACCATGCTACTAATTCGCAGTAAATCTAGCCATAAATTGGCCAACCAAGAGGGTAAGATCCTATTGGCCCTTTCTGATTTAAAAAGGGCCGTATCTCTTCTATCCGCGTAGCAGCAAAGCTATATGAGATACCCTACACTACCCTATATGCGCGCGCCGATGGCCGCGTCTCACGCGTTGATAAGCGCCTATCTGGTTATAAATTGACCTAAACCGAAGAGGATGCGCTTGCTGAGTGGATATTATCTATGGATTTAAGTGGAGTAGCGCCTAGACCGGCTACTGTGGGAGAAATGGCTAATATCCTACTTACTACGCGCGGTAGTAACCCTCCGCCTACTGTTGGTGTCAATTGGCTATTAAGCTTTATTAAACGCCGCGATGAGCTTCGATCTCGCTTCTCGCGAAGATATGATTACTAAAGAGCCCTAAACGAAGATCCGAAATCGATTCGGCAGTGGTTTACGACCGTACAGCGCATAATCGATGAGAAGGGTACATAACCGGAGGATATCTACAACTTTGATGAGACAGGCTTTGCAATGGGCCTTATATCTTCGCAGAAAGTGGTTATAAGAGCTGAATACTACGGTCGGCCACGTCTTCTATAACCAGGAAATCGTGAATGGGTTACTGCGATCGAAGCAATCTACGTAGATAGCTATTTACTACCGCTATATATAGTCTTCAAAGGTAAAGTGGCTATTGTAGGATGGTTTAACGAAAATCTACCGAAAGACTGGCGAATCGAGGTCTCTGCTAACGGTTGGACTACCTATGAGATTGGCCTACGCTGGTTACAAAAGATCTTTATACTATATACGAATTCGCGCGTACGAGGTCGGTGTTAAGGAAGTATCTACTTTACAGGGTAGATGGCCTGTAAACTAGGTAGGAGAGGAAAGCACAAAGTCAGATTGAGACAAAGACTGTTTCTTGAGGAAGATGAATCCCACTTCCTAAAGCATCTGTTTAAATACATCATCTTTTGTGCAAACAGGAATAAAACACGAAGTAAGGGGGAAACCATGGCGAAAGGCCACCGAATAGCCAACGAATGGCACATACTGTGGGTGCGGCCTGCATGCAGCGTGGCTGTCGCGTATCGCGGCCGAGGGGCCACCGACTGACCGCCGGATGGCTACCGCCTTGGCAGAACCCTCGGTCTAAGCATGCCTGAGGCCCTAATATCAGTGTGTGAATAGTCTCATCGAAATATCATAACAATTATCCCCCCTCAAAGGACTCTCTCGCCCTCGAGAGAAATCGAAATGTGGAAAATAAAAAAACGCCCAAAAGGGGACGTATTAGTCAAAATAGAAACCAAACGTGGCAAACGTGGTAAACGTGTAGGCAAGCAAACAAAGATAGTGCGTTTCCTTTGTTGACGTTGGCAACGCTTCTTCTCCTCCTCACTTCTCATCCTCTCCTTCCTCTACCTCTCTCGCTCGTTAGCTTCCTTTATATTAACGCGCCTCTTCGCCCTCGAATCCCCACCTACATCTTGCCGAAAACCTCACGATGCCGCCGCGAATCCGGCCTCTCCTAGAGAATCCTATTGTCATGGGGATTCTCTGGTGTATGTACTGTCTTCGGACCGCGCTCGCTGAGTGGGACCCTGCCTACAACGACTGGCCTATCTAGATCGAATGCGTCCGCGACGCCAAAGCCTCGGTGATGTGTCGGCAGTGTTCCGCTCGTAATGCTTTATGCTTTCCGGTGGGTTTCGCCAAATCTTCTTAAGAGGATAAGACTAACGGCTATAGGTTGTAACTGCTATGATAGGAGATGGCCACGACCTGGCTGTTCTTCTTTCGTGGGCGCGTGAAATATTTTGGGTGGGATAGATAGACCCGAGCGACCCCGGAAGCTTTATAGACTGGCTATTTCCTACGGAAGCCCGTCTAATCATCGCTGGATTGATATAGGACCTGTGTTAAGCTTTTGATGTTTCGGAGCAGGCTCACCGTAAGGAGCACTCGCTGACCGGGAGTAAGACCTAAATCAAGGTATACTTCCTCTGCTTCCGTTTATGCGTATACTAACTAGCGTTTCGGTAGTTAACCCAAGCCAACTACGACGCGCTTCTCTTCGGCCGCCGTACTACCCTTCCTACTATCCCTGCCCCCGGTCCCCTTGATACTCCGGAGTAGAAAGCGGACCGTTTTAACAAGCGGCTTCTTCGTCTTTACCCTAGAGACGAGGGATATATTACTTAGACTCTAGCGAAACGGGTCTTTTTCGATGAGGTTTCGAGAGTGATTCGCGAGGCTCAGGATGACCTAGACTCCGATGATGATAACAATGCCTCTATAGGTAGAGATAAGGTGGCCGCCCTCACAATAGAGGACTTCCCCGTCTTTATAGAGACTGAGATCTAGGTGCTGTTGCCCTTCCACTACGGATTCTGCTAGATTTCTTTGTTGTTTCCTCGTTCTTTCGGGGGCCCATCTATACTGAGGTGCTTTCTTTAGCGGGACTTAGCTAGGGCCTACCCTTAAGTTATCTTTCTGTAGGGGATCGCCTTTCGTTTCGCCGCCGCTTCGGCGGGTTTTTGGTAGTAGTCCTTTAAATTAAATAAATTTCTCCCTTTCTTTCTTTCTTTCTTTCTTTCCTCATCTCCTCCTTCTCGCCCGGTCCTTCTCGCCCGGTCCTCCGACTAAGAACTACCAGCGTATCTTAGCGGAGAAAGTTATCACGCTAGGTATGAAGTTCCGGAGAGTGTTTAATAGCGGTTCCCGCTTATGGCGTATCGAGTAATACTCAGCAAGGTCCTGCCCTTAAGGCGCTTTATAGCGGAGGGATCGTCTTATTTTAGCCGTCGTTTCGGTGACCTTTCGCTACTTATCCTTTAGATTTAATCCGGTATTACCCTTCTTTCTCTTCCAGTAAGACTATATAGCTTCCGTGGCATTACCTATATCTTCCTAGGGGACCTATTAATTATATTTAGAGGGCCATCCCTTCCACTTCACTAGAAAGTGAGTTTCGCCGTTAATAGTCCTATCTTCGCGAACCTCTTCTATCTCGTATTTATTATCATCCTCGAGATCGGGCATCGGTAGGAATTCGTGGTTAGTCCCGTTTGGTTTCCGCTATAGTTCGAGAAGGGATACATAAAAAACGTTGTGGATTCGGTCATACTACCGGGGTAAGCTTAGGCGGTAAGCTTATTTACTAATAGCCTATAGGATTCGGAAGGGTCCGATAAAGCGAGGGGCTAGCTTCTTACTTCCTTTCAACCTCAGATTCTTGGTTGATAACCCTATAAGATCACCTTTCTTAAACTATATCGGTTGGTGGTCTTTGTTGTAGTATTTCGCTATTAATTCGTTAGCTTTTCGCTAGTTCTCCTGTAATCTCTCTCGGAGTGCTTCGAGCTTTTTAATTCGTGCGGATGCCGCTGGGACCTCTCCTGAGGCCGATTCGCCCTCGAATCGGTGTTGGAAGCTAGGCGAATAGCCTATTAAAGCTTGGAAAGGGGAGAATTTTGTTATTGAGTTAACTGCATTATTATAAGCGTATTCTGCTAACGCAAGTAGGTTTAGCTACACCGTTTGGCTTTCGCTAGTAAAGCACCGAAGGTAGTGTTTAAGGGTTTAGTTAACCCGCTCCGTTTGGCTATCGGTCTGTAGGTGAAACGCAGTCGAAAGCCTAAGGCGTACTTTGGATATATAACAAAGACTCGACTAGAATTTACTAGTGAAGACCGGCCCTCGGTCGGAAACAATACCCTCGGGCGGTCTAAAACGTAACTCTACGGAGTTATGGAATAATTCGGTAAGTTCTGCAGCGGTAATCGTGGTCGATACGGCGAAGAATAGTGACCATTTCGTGAATCTATCGACGATCACGAGGATTAAATCTACCTCTTTGCCTTGATAGAATGCCGGCGGGAGTCCCGTGACGAAATCCATCGAGAGTTCAGTGAAGGGTCGTGATGGGATCGGTAACGATTGGAGTTCTCCGTAAGGCTTATACCTTCTTACAGTAATACCTTGGCACACCTAGTAATCCTGCACGTATTCGGCAACGTCTCGGTCTAGATTCGGCTAGTAATATTTCCTTTTTATCAGTTTAAGGGTACGAGAGCGACTAAAGTGGCTAGTAAGGGGATTATCATAATAAATACTTAACAATCTTATTCTAAGGTTGCTTCCCGTAGGAATATAGATTCGTTCTTTAAATCTCAGTAGGGTATCGTACCCTACTAACTAGCCCTTAAACCCGTGCTTCGCCTGCGTTACGGCAGTCTTTCGGCGCTAGGTCTCTGGGTCTCCGTCCTGGAGTTGCCTAATAAGCTCCTTAAGCCCTTTACTTAAGTCACATGAGTAGGCTGTCTCGGAGGTATAAGTAGGCTGCACCTGTGCTTTAGGGAGGGGGTAACTTCGGCTAAGCTCTTCCCAATTAACCATTTCCGTTGATTCTTCTCTATCTTTATATTTCGTGAAGTATAGAATATCGGAGGTGAGATCTCTCACAGTGTACGACTGGACCCCTGTATAGCGGTGATCAGTCGCCGGCCATTCGCCTGCTAATCGCTGGCGTAGCGGCGAAAGTAGGTCAACCTTATAGTCACTCGGTAGCCATCGCCGAGAGGGTCTATCCGCGGGATTCTTTGTTCTAGCGCGGTGTTTTATCACAAAATTGAAAGGTGTAAGAGAAAGACACCATCTAGCTTGCCTGCCGCTAAGCTTTGGCTGCTTTATAAAAGTTTGCAGATTTACATGGTCTGAAAAGACCTTAATTGGATGGGCACTGCCTTCAAGGTAGTGTCGCTAGTGTTTAAACGAATATACGATAGCGAATAGCTCCTAATCCGGTGTCCTATAGAGGATCTCTGCCCTAGAGAACTTCCGCGACCAGAAAGCTACTGGGTGCCACACACCCGCATCGTCTAGCTGGGAAAGGATTCCCGCCATCGCGCCGTTAGACGTATCAGTTTCTAGCCGAATTAACTTAGATAGGTCAAAGTGTCTTAACAGAGGAGTTGATTGGAAGGCGGAGATTAGGCGGCGAAACGCTAACCTTTCGGTAAGGGTCAGGTTAACCTATCCCGGTTTCCGCCTATTCTTGCTTCCTTTTAGCAACCCTATAAGAGGAAGCGCAATCCGAGAGTAATTTCGGATGAATCTGCGATAGAAATTACAAAATCCCAGGAACACCTAGATCTCCCGGTATGTCTTTGGAACCTCCCACGAAGCGATGTCGGAAACCCGCTAAGGATCCATCGAAACACCCTTGGAGGAGATCACAAAGCCAAGGAAATCAACCTAGTCCTAATAGAAGGAGCACTTACTTTGTTTAGCGTATAGACCTGCTGAGCGTAGCCGTTTGAGCACTTAAAGGAGGTGGTCTGTGTGGGAATCCCGGTCTAACGAAAAGACCAAGATATCGTCGAGATAAGCTACCGCAAAGACGTCGAGAACGTCATGAAGCGTTGAATGTATATAGTTCTGAAAGGTTGCTGGTGCGTTGGTGAGGCCGAACGGCATGACAGTGTATTCAAAGTGCCCATATCGCGTGCGGAAGGCTGTTTTCCACTCATCTCCTTCCTTAATGCGAATTCGGTAGTAGGTATCTTAGATATCGATCTTGCTGAAGATTTTTGCACCGGACAGCCGGTCTAAAATCTCCGAAATAAGAGGTAAAGGGTACCGATTCTTAACTGAAACCTTATTGAGTCCCCGGTAATCTACGCAGAGACGTAGGCTTCCGTTAGATTTTGGCACAAAGAGGATTAGAGCCCCCGCTGGGCTTTTGGACTCGCGTATGCGGCCATTCTTGAGGTTTTCGTCGAGGTAACGGCGGAGTTCCGCTAGTTCCTTCTGAGATAAAGGGTAGATAGGGCCGTATGGCACTTGGGTATCGGGTAGTAGGTCAATTACGTGGTCGTGGTCGTTGGATTGAGGTAAGATATCGTTATATTAAGATACAAAGGCGTCGTGAACCTCTGTAAGTTCGGGTGGTAATCGGTTAGGATTCGGCGGCTCTTCGGTGGTGTCTCTATCGATTGGTAGCTATACTTCTTCGGGTAGACGTACTACGGCGAAGATATATGTATGGTTTCGGGTCTGTTTCGCGAATTTCTTCGCTGGTATGATTTTAACAGAGGGCATTCCAAACCACCAAAGACCGCTTCGTCCGGCAATATATATATCGTGGTCATAGAGGGTTGTCATGGAGAGGAGTACTGGGCTTCCAGATAATCGGGGATCTCGATTAATCGCCACACAGGAGCGAGTGAATCGGCGTGTGATACCCCTCGAATCGGTAACGATTATTGGAATACTCCAAACTCCGTACGTTAGGGTTAAGCGATTATTAATGGCACGGATGATTGGTTCTGTTAGTGTTACTTATTAGAATTAATGGGTTTTGACAAATTCGAAGCTGACAAGGTCAACCTCAGCTCCACTATCGAGATCCGCGTGGGTTTCGATATCGTTTCGGATGGTAATCGGTATATAAAAGCGAGTGTAAGTCCCTACTAGAGGGAGAGACGAAGGTGTAGGGTCTACTCCGTCTCGCTGTCGTTTCCCTGCTGGGCGTTCTACACCTTAGCCGATTTCCCGTGAGGTCCTTTCGGGCAGTCGGTGGCGTAGTGTCCTTTCTCGCCACATCTATAACAGGTGATGTGATCCAATCCTTCGTCGGAAGTGATTCGGCTATCTCTCACTGGTGTTTCGCGAGTGAATCCGTTGTTGTGGCTAGGGAAACGACCTCTTTGGCGACCGTTTCCTCGGTATCCTCGGCCTCGGTAACCCCCTCTCTGTAGGCGAGGAGGACTATCTTATCGGGGTTTTTGTGAGGGATCCCTAAAGGTTCTCTTTCGTGAGGGATCCGACGGCCTATCGTCGCGTTTTCGCTTGCGTTCCGCCTCCGATTTGTTTAGTTCCCAGAAGTGATAGGCAACGTCGATCATCTCTTCGCGTGTCTCGGGTAGCTTAAGTACGTGGAGACGGATGGTGTTTTGAAGGCCGAAAGTGAGCTTTGCAAAGAAGGTAAGGGCTCTCTCCTTCTCTGCCGATCGTGGAAAGTGTTGTTCTAGAGTGTCTAGGCGTGCATGGAATTCGCGAGGGTCTTCATCCTAGCCTTGGTGGGTTCTCTCGAGCTGTCCCATAATATCCGATTCAAGGCTAGCCGCATTCTTAATAAGAGTCAGGGTCCAATCCCTAAAGTAAAGCCAGTCTTCCTTAGGGTCTCGTGAGAGAGTCGGTCCCTTTTCTTCAGTGTGTCGGTACCATCTCTGCCGACAGGTTGGGTTCATGTGGCTGATAGCCCCAAGGATCTTCGTGCGATCGTTGTAGTATTTCTTTGGAGCACCCTCGAATGTTTGTTGTAGGTCGAGAAGCCACTCCTGGCGTTTCTGGAGAGTGTAGTCCAGCGTGAAGGTAGGCAGGTTTTTGAGCTTGATCTCTTGGTCTTTTCCAGACGACTGGAAGGGGTCCCGGTAGGGAATCGGCGGGAGATCGTCATGGCTCCGACCCAGAACCTCAGATTTGAGGCGGTCTGCTTGATCCTGCAAGTCCTTCAAACGTTGAAGCTTCTCGATGGTAGCCTGTACAGCTGCGAGGCTGTCGTCAAGGTCCGGTGGGGTAGTTTGAGCGTTGTGAAGTGTTTCATCCTCAACAGTGGTTGACTCGTTGAGGTTTCGAGAGACATTCGGTGCCTCTTCGGTAGAGGGAGTAGAGCGAGTCCTAGGTACCATCTCTCCTAGGTAGTTGAAGAAGAAGAAACAGAATTGTTAAGGAAGTATCTACTTTACAGGGTAGATGGCCTGTCAACTAGGTAGGAGAGGAAAGCACCAAGTCAGATTGAGACAAAGACTGTTTCTTGAGGAAGATGAATCCCACTTCCTCAAGCATCTGTTTAAATACATCATCTTTTGTGCAAACAGGAATCAAACACGAAGTAAGGGGGAAACCATGGCGAAAGGCCACCGCATGGCCAACGCATGGCACATACTGTGGGTGCGGCCTGCATGCAGCGTGGCTGTCGCGTATCGCGGCCGAGGGGCCACCGACTGACCGCCGGATGGCTACCGCCTTGGCAGAACCCTCGGTCCAAGCATGCCTGAGGCCCCAATATCAGTGTGTGAATAGTCTCATCGAAATATCATAACAGTCGGTTTCGGCTATTGATTCTTGATGGTTATGGTAGCCACCTTACACCCTAATTCGACCGAATCTGCACAGAAAACGATATTATACCTCTTTGTATGCCTACGTATTCATCGTATCTACTACAACCACTAGATGTTGGGTGTTTTGTAGTGGTTAAGCGCGCGTACGGTCGCTTCGTTAGCGATCTTGCGCGTAGAGGATATAACTATATCGATAAGCACGATTTCTTAGTGGATTACTAGCACGCGCGGCTAGAAGCGTTCTAATTAACTAATCCTACTATTAAAAACAGCTTCGTAGCTAGCGGTCTAGTACCATTAGATGCTGAGAGAGTACTTAATAAGCTTAATATCTCTCTACGAACTCTAATACCACTAAATAGCCGGCTAAGCAGCAGATCTAGCGAATTCACACTATAAACGCCTAGAACCGCTACTTAGCTATTCAAGTAAGCTTCTATGTTAAAAGATCTACTAAAACGGCGGTTAAATAGCCCTCCGAGCCCATCAAAGGAGATCCTAGACCAGATGATTAAGGGGTTCCAGCTAGCGCTTTACAGCAGTGCACTACTAGCAGAGGATAACGCGAATTTGCGTATGGCGAATGAGAAGATGGTCAAAAAGCGCAATCGGTCAACTAAGAAGATACCCTACGAAGAGGGTTTAACCATTGAAGAGGCTATACAGCTAGCTACGCAGCTAAACCAGCCAGAGGAAGATGATGGGGTAGATTCGCATGCAGAGGTCGAATTGCCTAGTTAGCCAACTAGGCCAGCAGCTAGGGCTCCGCCTAGGTGTAGTGGATGTAGGGAGATTGGCCACAGGATTAATGTATGTAAAAATCGCTATATCTAGTTGAATTGATAGGTGTTGGTTAAGATAATCGATTTTGAAATATTCTTATGGGGGTAGGTGATCCGGTCGGCCGTGTGATCCGGTCGGCCGTGGATTACGTTAACTCTCTGAATCCTCCCTCTTCTTTCCCCTCTACCCCATGTATCTCTTTCTATTAATTCTTGCCATCTCCTTTCTATCGCTAGGATAAAGCCTCTAATCGACAGATCAAACTAAAGAAGCTGACTGACTAAGAGACTTTCTCTTCTCTAGTTCGCTGTAGCCAGCGCAGGGTGCGTAGGAACATATCCGCGAGAGTAGTAACAGAAGAGGAAGGTGAACTAATACCTATTCATTTCTATTCATTTCTATTCATTCCTATTCATTTCTATTCATTCCTATTCATTTCTATTCATTTCGCGTATAAATCGTATACAATCCAGATCGCATTAGAAATCGATCCAAATGAATTGAAATCGCATAACGTGGGCCCTGATTGGCCAAATCAGAATTCTGGCCGTGAGCAGCCTGATCTTTCAGGTTCACATTCAGGCCACTTGCAATCGGTGGCACTTATCGGCCACCGTACTCCGTGGCTCCACTGGCCTGAGCTCCCATTCTAGTGGTGCCTTCATGCTCTGCGAAGCACACATATCAGGCGGCAGAGTCTGATCAGACTCTCAGCTCCAAACTTGAGCCATCTCTCTCCTTCGACTCCAGTCTGCCACCTCCTACTCGAGCTCAGATCGCGCGCTCCTTCCGCGCACACCCCCACCATGAATACGCTTATGCAGTCCTCTCTGACTGACGTCGAGTCAAAACTTAACACTCTGCTGAAACACCTCACGACGTCCCCTGGTGCAGCTGGAGCGCCGGCTGCTGCAGTTACTCTACTCGAAGCTGACGACACTCTATCCTCCTCCATCAACACCCTTCGACTCCACCAAGAAAACTACGCCAAAATTCTAAAAGTGCGATCCGAGGCAGAACGGCTGGAAGAGCGCGTCAAAGACATTGTGAGGGATCTCGAAGGATTCGACAAGGAGATCAGAATCGCTTGCGGTGACGAAGAAGAGATCGACAGCGACCTCGACTCGGACGATGAAAGTGAGGTGGCCAAGAGCAGGATTGCCGCCCGCAAAGAGATCGACTATCGATTGCTTCTGGACTTTGCGCGTCGCATTAGCAAATACAACCAGGAAGCTGCGGCTGATGTTGCCAAAGGTGCCGGGTTAGGCCCCCGCCAGGACACGCAACCGCAGATTGCGGACAAAGATGTGCCGATGACGGGGATGAACGGCGAAACCGCGGCAGAGGAAGACGGCGCCGAACCTGTATCCTCTATTACGAAGAGTGCGACCCAGTGGCTGGATGATTCGGCGAATGTCACCCGCGAAGTGAATCTACTGCCATACCCAACGGAGGATAGGATACGCATGGGTCTGATGGGCAAGATACCCGCGGAGGGTACTGACCGAGAAAAGGAGGTTGAGCGATTGATACGCGAGGCAGAAGGTCTGGAGATCACAGAAGCACCGGCGCCTGTCCAACCAACAGAGACAACGCAGGAAGACGCTGCAAAGACTGCGCCTGTTCGCCCACCTGCTCCTGTTGCGGCAAGGCCACCGGCACCGGCAACGGCACCTGCGCCAGCACCTGTGCCAAAGCCTAAACCCAAGACTACTCTCGATCTTGACCTTTATGATCCCGATGACGACGACTTTTGAGCATTTTTATACGGTGGACCGGCCACGCATTTGCTTATTATGATACCAAGGAGAGCGGCTACGTCAACCATTACGGTTGGAAGAGATGAATAGCATATTTCATGTTGAATTTGTGCACTGTAAAAACGATGTGACGCCACACGAGGCATTCTTACATCTTATGCACCGAGGATTTGGCGGTCCACCCTCTGAACCTCTTTCCGTACATGTAGAAGGGAATCGCACAGAGACACCAGAGCGCCGTCAGGCTCATGTTCAACATGATTGGTTTGATGTACCCACTCTGCTCAATCCATGGGGTGATGAACTTGCTGAAGCCGTATCCCCACAAGTTCTTATTGACGGTGATAGAAACGAAGATCGAGCCTGCGACGGGCTTGTAGCTGTCCACCGCATAAGTGCTTGCGATGGCCGGTAGAGCAGCGACTTGGATTCCAGCCGCAGTATATCCGATGATGACAATAATCCGCCAGTCCCATTTATATTCATACCCAAACGCGACCACGAAGTTCCCGATGATCATGACGACCATGTAGACCGCGATAGCTGGCAATCGCATTTCTGGCTCACGGATACCTCGATTCTTGCGAGTGGCCTTCATGGAGATCCAATCCGAGAAGGGTCCGTTGGTGGCTAAACCAATGAAGGCCCCGATGAGTATGGCAAAATTGAAGAAACCGATAGATTGACTGTTGAAGTTGTATGGAGGCTCCGCAAAAACCTGGCTCTGGGTGAGGTTCAGCGTCAAGAAACAACTCGCCGACCAAGAGACGACGAAGGCCGCAAATTCGACTATCGGGAAGGTCAACAACTTCCACGGGATCCAGAAGCTGAGAAGAACCGTCTTGATGTTGTGCCCATCGAGCTGCCAGAGCATGAACTGCTTTTTGGAAGGACGACCTTTGTGTAGATACGGATCTTGCTCGGATGCATCCTCCACGTTCACGTGCTCGTGCTGAGTGATTTCTACCGGTTTCTCAGGCTCCAAGTCGTCCATGACCCCATTTGAGCCTTCGTGAGTGACTTCATCAGGATGAACTCGGTGCCATTTCGTTTCTGGGAAGAGAAAGATCTGGAAGAGCAACACGACACCAAGGACACCGACGTTCAGCCAGAAAAAGCTGCGCCAGCCAATATGCTCCGCCATGGGCCCAGCGATGATTGGACCAACCTAGCAAGGTATTAGCGACGTTATCAGAAGACCTTAGGGGGCATCTCACCATCAAAGATCCAAAATACACAGTAAAATAGAGCGTGTTGTAGGCACCTCGCTCATGGAGGAACATGATATCAGCGATAATCTCAGGCTGGGAGGTCTCTGCTGGACCGGCACCAAACCCATTGAGAATGCATGCACCCATGTAGCTGCCATATGAAGTTGCGAGCGCCCGCCAAATATTGCTGACAAGACAGATCAAAGTTGAGAAGATCAAGACGGGTCGTCGACCGTAGGACGCTTGAATTGGAATCCTAAGCACCGTAGGGTTAGCGATAAGCGATGGTCATGTGCCAACATGGATTGACGTACCAGAAGAAATTGCTGAAACCCAACACCAGAATACAAACACCCGTAAATTGAACCACTCCAGCAAGATCCGTATTGAATGACTCGATCAATTGTGGAAACATGGGTGCCAACGCTAGAGGTCCTAGGCCTTGGCTAAAAGAAGTCGCAGTGGATATAGCCATAGCGCTCATCTTCCAGAAACGACTCCAATTCTGTATTTGAACCAGGTATCAGCGAATTATTCTCCCAATTGGGTCTCCTGCGATACTAACCAGAGGGTCATGGGGATCTTGCGATGGCTGAGGTACCAGCACACGGTCGGACTTGGCTGAGGACTTCACGAAATGATGTGTGCCTACATCAGCCATAATCTCCGTACCGGGATAAATAGCGGTGCCCAGCTCCTCCTCGAGCCTGTCCAACTAGAGTTAACCTTGAGCTAATTGTGATGGGAAAGGACGTTCATACTGGTGGAGAGCCTAGGAAGTGAAGAAAATCGGTGTTGGCTACCATCCAATTCTGATAGACAATAGTCAGGAGAAATACTTACAGCTTCATCATAGTTCATCTCCATGTTTGAACCAATTGCCCTTGCTGGCTTGAGTAAATTCTCGAAATATTGATCAAGCTGAAGTTGAAGAAAGGTCGAGGAGACTAGCTCGACTGATCGATTACCAAGATCGTTCTAACCTAGGGCAACGCTTCATGTTAAGTACCCATGCGATAGTGTGCATGGCCATGTGCGGAATTGGGCCGGTGGGGATCTACTGGGGAATTACCGAACCCCACCAGGGCCGCTAAGAACACAAGCCAAATCAAGTCTTACCCCATCGTGATAGCGCCGTATCTTGATCATAGAAGCCCCTTTTACCAAGGAACCCAGAAAAATATAACCATTTTAAATTCCGGTAGAGTGGGTTTGAGTTCTAACCCGCCTTAATCGGACTAGAGGACAATAGCGAGTGCATGGTCTGGTCAATAATGATGATGCCCACTATTTATCCCGGGGACTCCACTTTAACCCCGGATTCCTCCCCAGCCCCGCCGAGCGAACCTCCTATTCGTATTCGCGACATCCCCGTCTTTTGCAGGTCGGCCACGTTTGCCACGAAAACGTACTCGGCTATCCCCCGCGGTATTTGGCCGCGTTTGCTTGTGTGGGAAAGCAGAGCTGTCTTCTCGGGCGAAATGTCGGCTGTCTGGAGTTGAAAAGTGCCCCTATAATGGTGTCGTCATGTGAGAATGTTAGCCTGTTGGGTTTGCAGGTGGCGTTGATGCCATGATTTCGAGCAAATAGAGCGAGCATCCAGCACTGCGAGCGATTTGGGTCAGGTAGCTTGTCGGGAGGTTCCGGTGTATGAGCTGCCGAAACTTGTGGGCACGGCTGTTGCTGAAGCCGAAATCTTGATTCCGACTAACGATATTATTAGACAATTATTACTGAATTGGACAAGAAGACCAATCAGGAAAATCCAATTTCCAGGTCAAGAGATCAGAATTTCAGGCATTTACTCCATAGCCTTATAGAGCACTGTAACACTGATCAGGGATCGACCGGCAGGGAAATTAATATGCCCTAAAAGGAGTTGAGGTCAAAACCATCGTATCTTTTTTATCGATTGCGATTAGAAGTGCTGGGTATTCGGCAAATACATGAACCAAGAGAACGCTTTAATTGCCGACATTAAATTCTTAGTTTGTGGCTGCGGGGTTTGACCGGTGGAGCAAGCCACTGACCACGTTCTGTATACGAGGCTCTGGTTTGTTGAGATGCAAGAAACCCGTCGTTGAAGGGCACAATGACACTAGGAGTATGCATGGAATTAGATCTATTAAGTTTGGTGTGCGAAGGGTAACCCCAATGGTGAATTGCCAACTTCATCGATTCCACGAAGAGTGAAGCTTCTCCACCGCGTATTCCGTGGCCCAGCCCAGGTCTGCCTCGACGCCCCGTAAAAGGTCCACAATGATCTGGCGCTCATTTGCACTCTCCAAACATTGACCCACAGCAAACAAAAGCGGTATCATATAGATCCGCACTTCAGCATGAGGCCTTCCCAAGGCAATACCGCATACTTCCCGACAGCGATGCTCAACCTCTTTAGTGACTTCTCGGTAACCTTGCAGGCGATCAAATGCTGTGCTTGGCCCACTAATAACGTCCTGCGGGCGATTTAACAACAGTGCAATTCTCCCAAAGTGATAATGCTGCATAGCAGCCGCGCATGTTGCGAAGCTGTGGAACACCTCGGGAAAAGGAATTTGGCTAGCATCGGGTGGCTTCGATACATCTCTGGGGTGCTCGATTCGTACGCATGGCCGAATCGTCTCCGGAACACCCTCGAACCACTTCTGAAATTCAAAGCATAAATCTATCCAGGTGCTTGTATCGGGATATGTCGACTGTTGGCTGGAATTGCTAGATATGTCATGGGCTGCGGATGGATTTTCTGGTGGAGAGCCTGTCCACTGGGCAATCTGAGATTGCTTGGATTTGGCGAGGAAATTGACGACTTTGGAAACAAGCCAGCATAGCCCATTGAATGTTTGGTCTTCCTGAGATAATTCAATCGGCCCGCTTGGAATGATGTGGAATTTTTCCTGCTCGTCAATTGATATCCCTGCCGCGCGCCAAAGAGGTGTGTTTGCGGGATCAAGATGCGTAGCCGAGCGGATATAATATGATCCAAGATAATCCTGGCGAGCGAAATTCCAGAAACACGCTCTGATTCCATGAGAGAAAAAGGTCGAGTTCATTTGCACCCTTTGAAGTAGTGTATTGAAAACTTGGCGAATGCCTGTGAGGTACCTGTTGACTAAAGTTAGCTGGTTGAAATCTTGGACTGGATAAATTGACAGACATGTGCCACTCCTCTCCTTTCGCGTCCAGCAATTTATACGACGTCAGAACGGTGACTGTCGCTAGAATGTCTTCTGTCTTTCGAAAAGGGGATCCGTCGTCAAGATTTTGGCCTGCCCCTTGTTTGGCCTGTTTATTGAGCCACCGTCCAACCAAGTCAATAGGCGAATCCAAGACTGCCGAAGTAGATACAACAGAATAGCCATCTGACGTAGATGCGGTTAGATCCGACACAGAGAGATAGTAGTAGTTTGCTGCCTTGAGAAACCAGTCCACTTGCTCAGAATTTGGATAGGTCTCGGTCGTAGCAGGACTGGTGAACATTCCTCGCCCAAGGCATGATTTGGAACCTTTCACTCGGCCGAGTTGCTTGGCTGCTAAAGCTGCCATGGAGTATTTCAAACATTGACTATTAAGAGCTCTGATCGGGACATAAACGGAGAAGAATTTTGCTGCATCGGATAAATCCAGCCTAATGTTATATCAGCATTGAAGCATTGCGAGAAGTGTAGACCACGGGCATACCAGGGACCCAAGACCTCTGCGAAATGGCGGGTGAGAAATGCTATCTCATGTTCGGTGCCCGTCATTAGTTCAGAGAAAATGTCCTGGAACTCCTCTTTCTCGCTTCGTTGAGACGGGCTCTCGGATGTGAAGGGTCTTCCATAGCTTTGACGGTCAGGAGGCTGAATGTTGTAATTGTTTTCAAAATTTGGGACAAGACCCATCATTGCAGTGCCTGATACTTCTGAATGTTGCAGGGGGCTTCTCGTCGAGCCCCCTTTGTTCCCGAAGTCAGCAAGCCGGTTTATTTCCGTGCCATATCGGGATGCTGGGGTATCTTGGGTGCGCAAGTCAGTCGCATCAACCGCTATGCCCGGCTGGATAGTGGAGGTAGGCACCTCAGCCATCGAGGTATCGGTTCCAAAGTCTGGTCTTGACGGTTCCAGCTGGAAACTGAATGTCGAGCCCATTTTCCCACTACCAGGCGGAACTTGACTGGGCTTTTCCTGATGGACTGCTGTTCGCCCTTCATTCTGTGCAGAATTAAGTGGATTTTCATCTTCCTATCCGAGAACGTTAGATCTCATCTAGAGCGGAAGACCTAAGTGTCACATACCAGATGGGAATTGGCCGATGTGCTTGGTTTTGTATGACTATCTTGATATGGAGCATACCGACGCCTTACTGTAGCACCTTGATCGATAAATTTACGCGTCTGGACATAGCCTGGACATTCAACGCCCGCGGTGACACACCGCTGGCATTGGGGACGTGTCTCGTCGCACTAGATATCATCAATGGAAGGTTCCCCAGATTCAATTATTTGATAGCGCGTACATACCTTCAGATGCCTCTTCTTACACCGCTCACATGCTTTGTTAGAGGGAACTCCTGGCATTGTGCGTTTCACAAGAAGATGGTTGTCTGGCCACTCGCACGTTCCGGAGGCTGCGCACCTTATCCTGGTAATACACAATTAATCCTAATAGTGTGCTCCTGATATTACATGCCGAGAATTTTGGAGATTCAAAATTCAGGCAAGCGAGCTACGACGGCTTGGAAGCACCGAAAAAGAACAAACATTATGACGCTCATCAAGGGATCATATTATGTAAGCCGGAGATGCTTCGGTGCAGAGTCGGCAACCCGGTTCGTTCGGCATGTGGCAGCGCCCGATCTACGACTTATTTTCTTTGAGCCTCTGCTACTCTGAAAACCTGGAGCTCGCAAAGAAGAAAAGAAAAACATGCTGCGAAGATCTCAGGAATCAGACCTTAATTTCGATCACCAGGGTTATTCTGTCTGTGCTGTGAGACAGTCGATCGAAACAGACCCGATCGCATATCGGCCTGGCAGTCGGCAAAGCCAAGCGGCATGGCGCTCCTCATCAAAACCGAACGGTCTCCCGGAACAAGAGCAAAGCCGAATATACCATGATTGGATCAGTAAAGACACTCTAAACCATTCCATCTGTACTTATACTGATTACTTTTTAGCCGCTGGAAAAGAACATGTGTTCGTTTGCTCAGGGTGCTATCTTCCGGAGAATTTGATCGGCTGTGAAACGTGCTGTAGATCCTACCACGCACAATGTTTGCCAGATACTGCATCCCCGATGCCACTTGATGGCTTTCACTGCCCGTCATGCAAATCAAAAGGCTGGGATCGAGCCCCTCCTTCACTCCCCGCACTACCTTCGTCTTTAAATACCTCAAGAGATGCCACTCCAACTGCAGCCTCGGGGTTCATACCACCCTCCTATGGAAGTGCTTCAAGCAGTTCTCGAGCATCCCCTTGGACGGGTACGAGCAATATGCCGGTGATCACCTCGGCATTAGATCTTGTACCGGAAAGTGCTGATGCTTTTGAGCACAATCATCTCACAGCAAATATATCGCCGATCACGGACATGTATCCGCACATTCTGGCATTTCTAGCTCAGCCGGACGCGCAGGACGTGACCCGTCGGCCAGAGTTCTTCCACCAGATCCATTCAATGATGCAAGAACTTCAATCGCACCGGTCGATGCTCCAGAAAGCAGCAGTCCTGAGAGAGGAGTTTTCAAGAGTTCAAACTGAGAATATTCAGATTCGAACGTATCTCAATTCTCGACTTCCTTCTAGGGAGCCTACTTTTTCGACTCCCTCTACCTTTTCACCCGTTCCAAGGCCAACACCAGATACCAGTGGGAGATCTTGGGATAGTATCGTTCTAGATCTTATCTAAATGCCAAGATAGCTATGGAATCATGCATGTCCACAGGGGTATCATCTAAGAAATCAGTCAATTCGGCTTCGGGAAACTCTTTCCACTTGTAAACTTTGTGTACGATTTTATATCGGAGACTCAGGGGAAGTATAGAGGAATCATCAAATCGGATCAAGCCCAACAAGACCAATTTCCACAAACAGTACACAAGTTGTGAAATGTCCATGGATCGACGAGCTAGGTGTGGGGTTTTATTGGCTCTTCGCGAGTGTACTGGCTGTTTGTTATTTGACGCCTGCAGCTGCGGGTAGCCGATAGAATGGGCGCGACAAACACCTAACACCTCGCCTCCTTGAACTTCACCGTCCTCGATCATCCTCTTCCCCTCCTTCAAAGCTCAAATCTGACCTGAACGTAACGTGCAGAGGTTACATGCACGATCAATTGAGCCAATGTCAATTCCCCACCCCGATGGAAATTCCACGAATCTTGCAAATCAGGGGACCCGCGTTCCCCGCAGCTCGGGGTGATTCATTCGCCCATTTTGTCCAAAAATCAACACGGATCAGCGCTCCACTCGGCAAGCCTGGTACTTGCACTTTCCCATGTCCATCTCCACTGTTGGCCAGATTACTGTTTTGAGTATCAAGGTTGCTCATCACTGCAGCAGTCGATAATAATGTCGCTACTCGGGGGTTTACTTTGAGCCCGGGGAACGCACGCGCCCGCTGCAAGCTTGTTACTATAGTCGCTAGTGTTGCTAATGCTGCCAAATACCAATGTGACACCATGCAGCACTCGATGCTACCTCTCTTACTGCTGCCTCTTGGTCCAGGGACCCGGAATTGCAGTTTAAATAGCTGGGTGGGCCTATAAAGGGGGCTGCAACCCTGTCGATCGAGACGCGCGGAATGCTTTTCCCCGCGACGGGAAATACTAAGAAGCTTGAGCCTTGCGTGACACGCGTTTCTTTACCACTTATTGAAGCTTGAAGCTTGAAGCTTGTCTCATTTGTTCACCTTTGATTAAGTGTTGGGATCGGCGGGCCAGCTTGGTGTCTGCTCGAGGCAACTATGCTGTCACAAACTCTGCGCCCTCGTGGTGCAATAACCACAGCAATCTATGGCTCTATTGCCCTGGCGGCCTCGGTCGCATCGGTTGATACCTTTAATGTTTTGGATTATGTCGACCCTTTGATTGGAACAGCCAACGGAGGTACGAACACTGCGAGCCGATCTGCATACTACTCAGCAACTAACGTCTCGGCAGGCCATGTATTCCCTGGAGCAACCTTGCCTTTCGGTGAGTCCTTCCATTACTCCCAAGATTCATAGATCTAAGGAGGAATAGGCATGGCAAAGGCTGTCGCCGATACAATAGGCGAGAACCAAGCAGGCTTCGCATTTGATACTACCTTTGTTACCGGATTCTCCCATATGCATGACTCCGGCACTGGCGGCGTGAGTTACTTCTTAAGGTCCGAGAAAGTGATGAAGAACTGACACCCCCCAGTCTCCATCCTTAGGGAACTTTCCAATTTTCCCCCAGCCCTCTTGCCCGAATGATGATATCAATCAATGCAAGTGGCAGCTCAACGATAGAGCGGTGGCGTGGGAAAAAAATTCGGTCAAGGCCCGCCCAGGATATTTTAGCATTTCGCTGGCCAATGGTGTTCAAGCAGAAATGACAACGACAAACCGATCTGCTCTGTATCGGTTCACCTTTGATGAGGCGTCATCAGAATCGTTGAGCCCAGTGGTGCTGGTGGATTTGATAGATCTGCCTCAGTCACGAAGCAAGGGAACTGCTGACGTCGACTCCTCCACCGGTCGTCAGACCGGAAATGGCACTTTCAATCCCAGCTTTGGTATCGGAAGCTATAAACTCCATTATTGTGTCGACTTCAAAGGCGCGGAGCTTCGTGACACTGGTGTCTGGACTAAGAATCAGGCAAATATCACCAGGAAAACCATCTCTCTAGGTGCTGATGGCGCCACCCTCTCGGGCGGTACATTCGTTCGATTCCACAGCCCCAAAGACAACACGATCCTAGCTCGTGTGGGAGTGAGTTTCATGAATGTCAAGCAAGCATGCGCTAATGCGCAGCGGGAGCAACCCGACTTTGACTTTGATGGGACCAGAGCTGCAGCTGAGACAGCCTGGAAGAAGAAAATGGGTGTCGTGTCTGTAGACGCGGAGGGAGTTTCGAAAGATCTCCAGACAATCTTCTGGAGTGGATCATACCGGTCTCTAATCAGTCCTCAAGATTATACCGGGGAGAATCCCCTTTGGGAAAGCGATGAGCCGTACTATGACAGTTACTACTGGTAAGATCTTATTCATATACCAACGACTTTCACGATGATTACTCATGATTTTTTCAGTATTTGGGACTCCTACCGGAGCATTCACCCCCTACTGACACTGGTCGACCCTCTTTCGCAGTCCCTGATGATGCGAAGCCTTCTTGACATTTACCGTCATGAAGGGTATCTGCCTGATTGCCGGATGTCTCTTTGCAAGGGCTATACCCAGGGAGGCTCTAATGCCGATGTCCTCATGGCCGATGCGTATCTGAAGAAGGTTGAAGGGATTGATTGGGACACTGCCTATGAGGCCGTTGTCAAGGACGCAGAAGTCGAGCCCGCGAACTGGGATGTTGAAGGGCGCGGTGGTCTACAAAGTTGGAAGAGCCTGGGATACATCCCCATTGATGATTACGACCCTTACGGTGCGGGCACTCATACTCGCAGTATCTCACGAACAGTGGAATATGCCTACAACGATTTCTGTATTGCCGAGATGGCGAAAGGCATGGGTAAGCAAGCAGACTACGAAAAGTATACCACTCGCTCGGGTAACTGGGCACACATGTTCAAGGCGGATCAGAAGTCCAGCATCAACGGCGCCGACACGAACTTCACAGGATTCTTGCAGCCTCGCTACACGAACGGTACATGGGGCTATCAGGATCCAATATTCTGCAGCCCTCTACTGCATTTTACTTCCTGCTATCTGAACCCTGATGGCCATGAGACCTACGAAGGAAGTTCTTGGCTTTATACCTTGTATGTCCCGTCCATTGATCACTCTAAAGGCTCATCTGGCTAAAGATTTTTCAACAGCTATGCTCCACATGATATGGGAGCACTCATCAAAACGCTTGGTGGGCCAGAGCAATTCATTTCACGATTGGAATTCCTTCACGAATCTGGCCTTCTGTATGTGGGCGACGAACAAGCATTTTTGACCGTCTTCCAGTTCCACTATGGCGGACGGCCCGCCCTGTCTGCCAAGTACAGCCACTTCTATATCCCGTCACAGTTCAATACCACAACCGCCGGCATCGCAGGAAATGATGATAGTGGTGCCATGGGCTCGTTTGTCATGCTGAGTATGATGGGTCTCTGGCCTGTCCCTGGGCAGGATGTCTACCTGATCACACCACCCTACTTTAAGGAAGTGAGCATTGAAAATCCAGTCACTGGTAAGACCGCCACGATTCGGAATGTGAACTTCGATCCCAGTTACACGTCGATCTACATTCAGAGTGCCAACCTGGATGGCAAGACGTGGACAAAGAACTGGCTCACTCATGATTTCTTCACTGAGGGAGGCGTACTCGAACTGGAGCTTGGCTCCACTGAAAGCCAATGGGGGACTAAGACAGAGGATCTGCCTCCTAGTCTGAGCAGTTATCAGCAGTAACCCCCTGCATCAGAGATATATCTCATGTCATTTGAGTATTTCCGGGCACTGGCGATATCAATTACAATATCACTTCTCTTCATACTTTCTTCAGTTCTATTCCAGGGTTATTAACAGGTTGTCCATCATCTCAATGAGTATTATCAGCGTACATGGCTATCAAGGCCAAAGCAATTTCCGTTCACTGTCACCCGGTGATGACACCTGATGGCCCTGGGGGCCAGCCTCTGCCCGATTTTGGCGTCATTTGCCGCACTAGTTCCTTGGTCTGCCTCCGCTCGTTCTACACTTCATTGGGATAAGGCTGAATAATTCCAAATGAGAGGTGTCTTTGCGAGTTTCTCGTAAAGACATTGGCGTTGGAATTTCCGACACAAAAGGCACGTGGGTATTACTCGGTCGCACTTGCTGAGGATGATTAGCCACACCAAATCATTTACATGGATGATCTCAAAGGGCCACCCTGGACTTCCTGCGACGGTCTTCCTTGTACGCTTACTCGGTTAAGGGGCACTGTGTATCCTGATGTCTCTCACATTCACTGGCAATGTCGGAGGACGTCCGATCTCTGCCAGTGTTTCAGGCACTGAATTTGATCTGGAACTTACTTTGGGTGTGACATTAGACGAATTGAGGTTGCTATATTGTGGGAGACATATAACCCAGATCTATTGATACCGATGCTATGGAGAAGAGATGTCTGAAACAGCATTAAGCGAAGCCGTTAATAATCTCGTGGTGGTCTCGAGTAACACATAGCTTCTGTGGAAGTATAAATCAGATCTCCACGCCATCCACCACTTCCCATCGCCGCCTCACCATATCGTCCTGTCTTCTCATGGGCCATGCTCGTATTTTATTGGCAGTGGTTATGATCCCCAGCAATGACTCTCTCTCGTCTGGATTCGTGAAGTATTCGCCATATAGTGTAATTGCTATTACTGCATTGACCAAGGCAGGATGAATCCTCATATGACACAGTGCTATTCCGCATAGTCTCAAGACCAAAGATCGAACGTGTGCCTCTGCCTTTCGATGTGTGGCCCGATTCGCTTCACTTCGTTTCGTTCTCTTTTAGCTTGCACCACCGGAGACTTTTAATTACGGAGACTTACTCGAGATTAGGGTTTTCTGCCGTCAAAATCATTTGCGCAAGCAGAAAGTGCTGAACTGCAGTCACTTGGAGATCAAAATTGTACCAAACAGTTGGAAATATTTGGCCCTTTGTCCTTCTGCCTTGAGGTCAAGGGTCGGCTTCAATTCGCTCAAGAAATCGCGGAGCAGCTGATGCTCTTGGTTTTTGAGTTGGGCTAAAGGAGCTTCAAGTCAGCACCTCAGAGAGAGATATTGCATCTTGTTTGATAGCGTTCACACTCACTCCATTCCTCTGCTGATTTATTTCACCAGCGCCGAGTAGCAAATTGACCACAAACAATAATCATCGTGTTCGCTATTGAAGCATTGAGCCAACGGTCGGCATCAAACCGTAGATGAGGAGCGGCTTCTCTTGTCAAAGCAAAGTAAACCTCTTGTCGAAGAGTGATCCAGTATGTGGCCGTGGCAAGGGAGGAATCAAGTAGAGAGGTGCTCATAGTATGCAAGGGGATTTGCCAAATGAGGAACCTGGGGCCATTTTCAGTATTCGCAAAGTGCTGAGGTCGCGCGGAAGATTCTCAGATTTGGTCTGTAGAAGGCAGCGGCGTTGCCTCCCTTTTAAGGTAAGAATGCGGGATGAACCCCGCGTACAAGTGATATTGCCCGTTTAGGGAAGTGACCCCCGCATTCTTATGCGCCTTTTCAAAGGAACCAGCTTCCAGGTGACGCTTCAATGAATGAGGAGTTAGATTCTCGAGTACCTCCTACGGCCTCGGAGTTGAGACTGGTATTGTTTTACTCTCAAATTCTGTGATCACCATCGGATTATGACTGCGAAATGACGATCAAAGTCAATCATGCGTTGAATGCCCCGCAGAATTCTAAGTATGAATTGCTATCTTTGATCTAAATGAGCCTCAAATTGTGAATCCTTTAAGAGTGTGCGTCTCCCAACTGGAGAAGTGTCCACGCCGTTTTTCCCTTGGGTGTTCAATCTCAGTTGCTCAATAACTGACACCCCAGCTTTCCCCCGTTTTTCGTTTGGACACAATTGAAGCTTCAGGTATCTTTCTTCAAGGGCAAAACCTGGATAATAGCAAGCAGCCTTAATACATTTGCAATCTAACTGCGAAAGCTCTAATTGGAAAAATCTAGGATCTGGAATGCCGTGACTGATATGTATTCTCCGGGGTCAGATTTATAGAGTTGACGCCTGATTCAACCGCTCGCCACTCTCGTTAAATCGAACAACCTCCCCCGTAAGAAGTGCCTGCTGCGAGGCCTGTGCAATCTTCATCACCAAAATTCCAGTCTCAAGCTTCACAGGTACATCCGTATCCTTTAGAATGGCCTGCACAAATTCATTGGCTTCCAAGGCAAATGCATCCTCAAATCGCTGCCAGTACTCCGGCTGTACCTCGTGACGCATACCAAGCTTGTCTGCAATAACAACTTTGTTCTGTTTGGGAATCACATTCACCATCACTTTGCCCTGGGTACCTGTGATCTCCGTGCAGACATCGTGTCCATGGGCCTGCGCACGGGAGCATTAGAAATAAGCGATTTTTTCACCCCAAAATTCAACGATACCAACTGCATTGTCCACATCGGATAGCTCTTTAAGCTCTGGGTGGTGCTGGAGTGTACCTGCAGCCCAGCAAGCCTTAGGAACCGGGTTACCGAGATACCGCAGAGAAAGATCAATATCATGGATGGCACAGTCGACAAAGATTCCGCCGTTCCGAGCCGCATATCGGACAAAGAAACCGGATTCATCGCGCAAGTCACAAGTGTTTGATCGGATCATGAAGGGGGATCCGATAGCTTCTTGGTCATAGATCTTATGGCTTGCGTCTCGATATGAGGCATCAAAGCGGCGAGAGAAACCGGCCATGACCTTTACCGAAGGGTTCTGCTTAGCAGCATCGACGACAGATTGGGCCTATAATACATTTGTCAGTATTTCAATTAAACAATGCGGCACCATTTATCATCTCTCTACCTCAGCAAGGTCGGTGCTCAGCGGCTTCTCACAGAGTACATGGACTCCCTTGGCGATGGCCGCCAAAGACTGGCTCGCATGAACGTCGGTACTGGTGGAAATCCAGACAGCTTGCAAGCCGGGATGAGCTAGCATCTCATCAAAGTTACTGTAGACGGCGATGTCAAACTCTCGGTACTCTTCATTCTCCTGAGCCCATTTGATCTCCTGGCGATCCGTGCTGCATACGGCCACAACTCTGGCTCGTGGAACACGATACAAGAGGGTGTGTACATGTCGCTTTCCCTGTTCAGTGTTAATTGAATGCAACATTTAGAATGTCGATATACATACCATGCGACCAAGGCCAACAACGGCAATTTGAAGAGGGTTCATGATGAAAATTGATCAAAGCCAAAGTTGTTTGGAAAGGATTAAATAGAGGGAGAGGATGTTGTTTCTTCCTTGGTTAATGCCCTTGAAGAACATGATCCTAATTGCTATTATCGAGGAGTTTGAAGCCTTTTATAAGGCTCATGGGCTATTTTTTACTTTTCTTGAAGGATATAAATCGGAATCGCCGCTTCCTACCCCTTTCGGTAATTTTATTTCTGGAAGCTTATCGCGCATGTAGACTGGTAATCATTGTGGGGACAACCCCGCGTTACCACATAAGAATTTCCCATCTCTACAACATGGTGTGCATTCCTGCTAGCACGGTACCCCCACGGACCACCGTTTATTGTATAAGCAATAGATTTTCCCGTGTTGTTGTAATTTTCTTCACAGTAGGAGCTTAGCCCGCCCTTGGGGAATCTTGCCATATATAGACAAACAGTCCTACCCTCCGATTCGCTTCCCAATGTGTGCATGAACCCCATCTCGATGACATTGGAAACGTTGCATAATCAAGCTGTGACAATTGCTTTTGGCAGCCAATTTCGGGGTGCCCGAGTGTACTCAAACAGATTGCTGCAATGGACATCATTGCGCCCTCTATAATCATAAAAATAATCTTATTATTTGCTAGATAGCCGTTGGAACCACCACTTAGCTCTGCGACTCGAAATATGCTGCGAATGTAGATGCATACAGCTGCAAGACCTTGAGATACCAGTAAGGCAAGCCCAGCAATCACGATATTGATGCCAGACTACGCGGTGGCACCATCATTCGACGTTGTGATTGCACCGCCAGCCACTTGAAGTGTCATGGATGCGACATCACAAGTCACAAAGACAGACGAATAGGGTCGTTGCCTGATGCGCGAGCTACTAGTTACTTAGACACCAATGATACCCACCAATTGACATAGAAGCAGCGTATTATCAAGGTTATCATTGGTGTTTCATCATGATCACTTTGCAGATCCCCGGCATGCTCTACCAGCCATGCTCTACCACTCTTAGGAGTATGCTTTTAGCTCCCAGCATTACAGAAATAAGAACCATAGAGCTTGAAATCAATGGCAGCCTCACATTAGCAAGGCAGTACGTGCAATTCTCTCCTCGGCGTAGAGAGGGGGATATCATCTATGTACAAGCTAATAACAGACAGAAAAGAAGAAAATTTCGGCTCAAAATAATATCGACACAATATCTGACAAGGTGAATTTCACATCATAGGCTGCTGACTGGATCCAGCTGGGGGGTCCGTAATATCACAAGAGTAGCATCTCGTGCCACTCACTTATGACGGGGACTCGCTGTTTGAAGACGGAGCTCGTCGGCCCCATCCACTGAAGAAACCACCACCGCCAGCGCCGACGTTACTGGAAGTTCCAGGGGTTCTGACAGGCTCGGTGGTAGACTTGGAGATGCTTGCTTGGGAGGGTGAATGTCCGAGGAAGGAATGGCGATGTTCGAGTTGGGGTTTCCTGATCATCTTTCGTAATGAATCCAGTTTCCCCTTGACCTCCTCTAGCTCCTGCTTAGCGACGGCTTCTGCGGTCTTAGCGTTGACCAACTCAAGTAGGAGAGTGTCTTCAGCAGCAGGCTTTTGGTTCTCGGTAGCCAACACGTTCTGCAAACCCAAACTACTTGAACGCTTGTTGAAGGTCGGGGTCTTGTGCGAGTTGGACCGAACCAATCTCAGTTCACGTAGGCCTCCGGTGGGAGACCCCGTCTCAGAATCGGCGGACATGGCACCCGTCTCCGGTGGGGTTGTTGATTCGGGCATTTTGAGTGCACGCAGTTCCTTGTTCAATCGCTCCAGCCGCTGCCGGTCACGGTATCCATCTTGAATCCGGCTGCGAGCTTCGCGCAATTGGTCTTTGAGTGACGTGTTCTCCTTTTCAAAATCGTCCATCCGGCGTGTCAGGTCTAGACAACGGCTTGCTTCCACCTCATGCTTTTCCTTCCACCGGGTCATATCGTCGTACAATTGGTGTTTGGTTTGGGAAATAGAACTGGGTTTAGATTCGCTGTTTGCAAAGCGAGCTTGCGCTTTAGAGACCAATTCCTCGGGTCGCGATTCGGCTGGTTGCTCTTGAATGTATTTGAGCATTTCCTTTGCCACCGAGTGGTCTTCTTCACGTTCCTCTCGTTCCTGCTGGAGTTCACGCGTCAAATCCGCTTGTTGACGTTGGAGGTCACTGAGTGCCATCAACAAATCCTCAATCTGTGTGTGAAGATCGCGGTCTTTGTGGTGAGCTGACATATTGGATTTGCGTGACTTTTGATCACTGTTTGTCGCCGCCGACAGCTCGGTCGGAGCAGTACTCGCGTCAGATGTTGACTCCACAGAGTTCAGTGTGGATGTCAAGCTCTGTTTTGAGGTAGAGCGACGGATAGTGCTGTGTGGACGCGACGAGCTTGTATTTGGGTTGAGGGACTTGACGGAGTTGTGAGAATTGGAGCCTGCCCAAAGTCGTCCGAGGAACCTTGATGCTGCAGCTTGCATCTGCGGGAATGAAATTCCAGTGGGCACGCCTTGAGACTGATTGTAGCTGATTTCAAGGGCCTGAAGACTCTCGTTTGTGACAAGAGAGGTAAGGGAAACAAAGTCATTAACGAGATCATCTGCGTTGAACGCGTATCTGGACAAGTTTGTCAGTGGTCATCGCGAAATGACCTAGCGGGTGATCGATATGGATAAGGGGAGACTCACGTATCCCACAAACTGCGCGAGAGCAGTAACTGCATGACGTCCTCAAACTCGGTACAGGCCAAGATGCGTTTTTCATTGCGCTGCATCAGAGACAATGCCACCCGCATCAGGGTTTCACAAGCACCCTCCAGAAATATGACATCGTAAATTCGAAGAAGCATTGGCAACGGGCAAGCCACTGCAAAGAAAGACAAGAACCACTGTGAAACATACACCGGCTCGACATTCAAATGCTCCAGGTGTTGGAAGAGTTCGGGACGGTGTCGTGCCAAGAGGTTTTGGAACTGGTAGACATGGAGGTGAAGGCCTGACAAGTCTGGAAGATAGCAAGTCCGAAGATTATAATGCTCCATCAATCTGATCATCGTTGTTAGTCTGTTTCATCGAAAAATCTTCCTTCGCATGGGGTCTTACCGAACAAGCACACAGAAAGCCTCCGCATCGGACATGTGCATCAACAGCGGTCCAACTACAAAGCCCAGACCCTGACAATAGCCAATCTTGGCATCATACAAGCTAAAGCATCTCAACACTCGAGCCAGCATTTGCTGGCCCTCGCCGTTGGGATCACGGAACATCTCCACATTAGGAAAACTGCGACCGATATCCTTGCCAATCAGACCATCATATGGGCTGCTTTCGCCAGACAACCGCTGGAACTCTTCAATCAGGGTTGGATCACGAGCACCCGCCAGACTCGGCCACACCACGCCTCTCAGCGGTGGAGGGACACCCTGCTGGATCTTATTAGAAGTCAGAGTCGGCAGTCGCTGGGCCGTCTGGGGGTAATCTGCCACCAAGGCAGCCCAGAACTCTAGCTCGGTCATCGGAGGTGGTTGGAGCTGCGAGTAGCGCAGCTCCGATCGCGTTGGCTCATTAATCAATTTCTTGATCTGGACGAGAGACTGTGAACGGGATTGTCGCTGGTGTCGCTGGTTGCGGGGGGCGTTGGACAAGGCCGATTTTGGGTTGGTAGCGAGCGCATTGTTCTCTTGCTCCAGGCGAGCAAGTAGTAGAGCGGTTGACTAGAAACACGAGCAAAGTGTCAATCTCACATTCCACGGGCTGCACGGCACGGTCCATGAGGGGCAACGGGTCCGGGCTGTCAACCTACATCGTCCGATCCCTCTCCACGCGGTTCTCTCTCTTCCGTTCGATCCAGATTCTCCCAATCCACCTCATTGTCACCCTCATCTCCTGGCTGTGCGGCATTCGAATGTGTGGGTTCCGCTGCGGTTGGGGTTGGGGGCTCGTCCACGGGGGTGGGGGTGTATCTTGCGGCATCGAGTAGTACCATGGGGCCAAATGACTCGGTCTTGCTCTTGATCGCCTCCGACTCATGGGTCGCCAGGACGGGGGTCGGAGGGATGTCGAGAGTCCGCCAGTCGGGTTGGGTGTGCTCTGAATTGGACTGAATATCGGACAGGGAGACGGTCACCATGGAATCATGGTTGGGAGCGTGGGGCATGCCCGGCGATGCGGGTTCGAAGCTATCCATTGCTGCTGCAAGTGGATAAGGACCTCACGTTGGGGAGGTATGATAGAGTACGTGGCCGAGGCCAGGTGAATCAGATTCTGTAGGGGAACGTGCGACGAGAAGTTCAAAAGATATGCAAGACCAGCTTCATCTCTGAGAGAGAGGGCAACGGAGATCAGCTTTTGGCGCAGTACGACGAGGGGAACCCAGGAACGCAACGCACCTGGAGGTGATCCAGCACCATCAAGGACTGCAATTATGCTTTATTTTCTTTTTGTCGCAAAGGGAAGCTGCGAAAAGGCGAAAGGGCTGGCGAGAAAGAAAAAGGGAGTGAGTCTCAGGGAGTGGAATATCCACTCTACTGTATTTCGCTAGCCCCCTTTAGTGTTTCCCCTCCAGGAGTCTCGCCCCCCGTCGATCGCTCATACACCGACTGTCTGACGGGCACTGAATATTGAAGGACTAGTCGTTTCTTTCTCTTGGCACTCGAGATTTGCATTTCAAAATAAAACAAAAAGCAGAGGATTATGATTGTTGGCATTATCATGATTTGAACCTCGACGGGTGAGTCCCCTATTTACTTCCTACGCGCCGACCCTCCGATCCCGTTCCATGGGAGAAGGGCGGAGGAACGGAGAACCGTATGATGACGTGGAGGGTTCGTGTCTTATTACCTTCCTCTCTCCAGGAGTTCACGATGTAGGAAGTAGATGAGACTGCTTAATTCCGTATTACAGTATACAGTAAGACTACCGTCTGAAGGGCTTGCCCATCAAAAGTGAAATCTCCTGCAGGTACCATGGCCCAATTA